TCAAGAATTAGTGATAGTGGTTTAGATAGAACATTACTATTATTTGATATTTCTTCACTAGTTCTCTTTTTAGCTAACTTTGGTATCTTTGGTAGACTCGATGATGATTCATTATTATCTTGAATTTTTAAAGCATTACTAGTAGTTTCCCATGATGAAGGTAGACTTTAAATTTGAAATTAGAATTAATCATTTACAATATACTTACTCTGGCAATGGTATGTTTTCCCAATCGTTTGTAAATAATGAATCAGAACCAATATGTTTCTTTAATAAAGCACTTAAATAATTTTCCACGAATTGTTTGTCTCTATCAGTGCTACACTTTTTAAATAATTTATTACAAAATTCTGTTAAATCATTAGGTCTATCCTCAATTCCCAGAGTTGTTAAATATTTATCTACAGGATTGTTTTTACTAATTGAATTTTTAGAAGGTTGTTGATTGACTACTATCGGAGTTGCAATAACATTTACGATTTTGTTGTTGTTATTAGATGATGAGAAGATAGAAGAAGTGGTTGATGATTTTGATTTGAAAGGTTTTCTATAATAAACGTCGGTTACTACTACTAGTAAAACAGAATCATCTTCAACTTACTTTGCCTTGGCAGACATTGTTTATTTTTTTTTAAATATTAAAAAAACAAATATTTTAAAATCCTTTTGAACAATTTCTAAATTGCAAACATTTTAAACAACATCCAATCAGCAAATAAATTCATTCTCCAAACTTGTATCAATTTTCTCAGAGAATAATAATTTTTCTATCATCACCAAGGCTTGACAAATTTGAATTGGTTTACAATCAATCAATTTAAAATTTAGAAAAAAATAATCTTCACATGTTTCAGGCTAAAAACTTTTCCCTTGCATTAATCATCATCACTCAGCACCGATAAAACACAAGTTGTTTTTTTACTCTCTTTTTGAAAATGAATAGATATCCAATAACGGAATTATTTCAAGTGGTAGTAAGTTGTAGAATTTTGATGAATTGTTCCGAAGCCTTTTTTAAAGGTTAATTTATCGAAACATCAATCTTTGATAAAAACTGAATTAACAAGTCAGAGATGGTCTACAATAGGTGCCCTATGCTCTTCTGTGGCGGCTTGGTGTGCCTTTGGTTCAATGGCATTTCATCATTCTGATATAGAACTTCGAATAGAGGAAATTAAAAGGAAAAGAGCATTATTATCACAACAACGAAATGAACAAAAACTTGATGAAAATTTAAATGATATTGTAAATACAGTGAATGAAAGTTCTAATTGGATTATTCAAAAAGCTGAACCTTTTTTAATTCCTTTATTTAGTGGATTAACAATATTTTTAGGATGCTACATATTAGGAAGGAGACAATCTTTTAAAAAACATTTATCTGAATTAATTAGAGAGAGGCAGAAATCATTTCCTGATGATCCTCTTTTTAAATCACTCGTTAATACAAATACTAACAAGAATGGATATAAACCTTTATCTGAAATTAAGATTAAATAATATTATTCCAAATTTATTTAATCATTCACCAATAAATGAGAACTAACTATTAAGGAGAAGATCCTTGGTTAAATATTTACAAATAAGTAAGCTTACTTTTATATTTAATAGTTTAAATTGTTTAAAATTATCAATTTTAAATAACAATCTTGTTTTTTGATTCATGATGAAACAAATTCAAACACTAAATGTTATTATTGAAATTGTACAAATTGATGAGAAACACTGTTTGGCAGTTTAAGAATTAGTTAGCAAACAGTACTTTATAATTACGATGTCCACTGATTGAAAGTTACCCAAATGTCATCGACGATACCATCTCTTTACATTCAATGTCAATCTTGCAGAGAGAATTGGTGTAAAATAGATTGCGGGAACATGGCGCAATCTTTTTGATTCTCTTTAAATTCAGTTACAAACTGTAACGGTTTTGCAACAGTCGTTTAATTTATTCTATGGCAAATTTCTAGCCGTTTCACAAACAGTTTTTAAAAAATTAGCAATTAAAAAAATTGGCAACATACCCTGACACTCACCGAGATACACTTGCCCAACAACGATACATCATCATCAATACTCTCTCTTTAAATAATACCACTACAATATAATACCACCACACACCAAACTCTACGGAATGTTTAATAATAGTAATAGAGGTACAACAATGACTGATGAAAACGCTTTTGTTCCCTCTGTTCACCCAGCAACATCGAACAAGATGATGTTATCAAATCCTAATATTAAACCAACCTCTAAGCCATATCTATCTAGTACAACAAATACTATTAACAATACGACACAAAGAACATGTCTAGGTGATATTTCTAATCAGGTTCATCACTTACCAAAGGCTTCATCCCTTCCATTCAAAGCAAAGCCTTTGACTAACAATTTAAATAATAGCAAGGAGAATATTAAACTCCATATGGTTCCTAAACTCACCAATAATAATACTACAACTACCACCACTACCACCACAACTGCTACTACTACTACATTGATCCAACAACCACAATCTACCACTAACACCTTTGTACCAACTTGTATCCCTCCACATAACACACATTCCTTGATTACACCTAGTAGCCTTTCGTCTTTTAATTCTACCACCTCTATTAATACTACCACTTCCATTAATCTCATTACTCCACAACATAATATTACTCTGAAAGAAGCTCAATCTCCACCACCAAAGAAGGCTTCCCTTTTGATTAGTAGTCCAAAGATTGACGAAAAGGATTGTTATGATCCACAACACTGTACTGAATATATCAAGGATATTGTTAATCATTATAAATCGATAGAGAAGAAGTATTTACCTGATTCAAATTATATGGGAAGACAACAAGATTTACAACCGCAAATGAGAGCAATTCTCATTGATTGGCTTATTGATGTTCATTGTAAATTCCTTTTGGTTCCTGAAACTCTTTACTTGACTATTAACCTTGTAGATAGATTCCTTTCTGAAAAGGCAGTTTCGAGACAACGTCTTCAATTACTTGGTATCACTGCAATGTTTATTGCTTCAAAATATGAAGAAATTTCTAGTCCAATTGTTGCTGACTTTGTAAAGATTACAAAGGATGCTTACACTAGAGATGAAGTTTTAAGAATGGAAAGAATTATGCTTCAAGTTTTAGATTTCAATTTGACAGTTGCTTCCTCTAATGTTTTCCTCAAACGTTATCTTAAATGTGGTAGATGTACAGAACTTCAAACATTTATTGCCATTTACTTGAGTGAATTGTCATTGATGGACTATGCTCAATTAGAGTTTACACCATCTACAATTGCCTGTGCAGCTGTCTATTTATCAAAACATTTGACACAAGACTTGGAACAATGGGATTTGGTGTTACAACATTATACTGAAAAGTCTGAAGAAGATATTTTACCATGTGCTAGAGTAATGTTGAAATATTTGAAGAAGATTTCTTCACAAAGACGTGATGCTCATACCAAACCATTGGTTGCTGCTGTTAATAAGTATAAGAAGGAAGACAAGTTGTCTGCCTCAAGAGTCTGTGCCAAGATGGTAGATTCTGTGCAAATATAATTCAATCCCACACCAACAAATCTTTTACCACCCATTTTAATTAACACCAATCCATTCTCATTCCCTCTTCACCCAATATCACATTCACCAAAATCTTAATTGCGCTTTTAATTAAGCTTAATTTATAATAAACACAAACACTTTCGAGAAAACAGGTTTTTATTTAGAGAAAAAGGTAAGATGAAAAACAGTTGCCACAAGGTGAGACTTGAACTCACGACCTACGGATCTGCAGTCCGATGCTCTCCCTGCTGAGCTACTTGTAGCAAAGAAATATTTTCAATACTTGCCTTAAACATTATCACTTATGATTAAAGGAAACATGTCATTGAATGAATGCAATTTAGAATGGTATTTAAAGCAACCCTTTGCTTGGTTTTCAAAAAAATTCAACGACTTTTAATTCTTATTAAACACGTTCATTATCGAAATATTTCAAACTCACTTTCTTTTTATTTTTGATTTAAGAATTCTGAAAGTTCACTTTGAACTTGTTCCTTATTGAGAATTCCTTTTTTTGGCTGTCTTTTATAATTACGAGTAAGTTTTTCTCCTCTCTCAAGACAGTAAATAGCTGATAGTCAAATCTAACTATTTCATTTCTTAGTTCTCAGAAAATCCCGTGAAAACTTACAACAAAATTAGGTTTTTTGTAAGAAAGACCAGAGGGAGAGTTTAACCTTGCTTGCGATAGTTACTTGTAGAATTGATTTTTTCAAACTAAAATCAATTCTGCAGAAGAAGGCAAATTTAACAATTATTATTTTTAATCACGTTTCGAATAATTAAAGAACAGAATGAAAATGTTTTAATTACAATTCAGCACGGACATGTCATTTTTCCATGTCAGTATCATTCTCAATCATGTTTGATTCTGAACTATAAAAGTAATACCTTTATCTTTCTAGATTGAATTCCTAATAAAAGTAAATTTTCACACAGTAAACATGAACGTATTGAACTATCCATATTTTTTAAATCATTCATTGATTTGGTTTCAAATGTTTGAATTTCATATAAATTTTCCAAATCAAATTCTTTAACTTGACCTTGATTATTACATGAATATAATCTATTCAAATTACAATCCATTGCATTCATTGAAATTTGATCAATTTCATTTAATGTGAAAATGACTTGATTACAATTCATGTCAAATATTTTAACACTTCCATCTTTGGATGAAAAATATAAATGTGATGAATTTTCACCTGTTGATAAATGACATGAAGATAAAATTTCACTTTTTTGTTTTGATTTTGAAATTAATTTTAAATTATTTGAATCAAAAATAGAAATTCCATCTATGGAAGTTGAATAAATTTGATTATTGTAAAAACATAAAGAATTTACATATCCAGAATGTTTTATACTTGTTTTCAATGAAGATTGTAATTTTCTATCATCCCATAATTGTATAGTTCCATCATATGATCCACTATAAAATAAATGTTCATTTTCAATATTCATTGTAAAACATTTAACAGTATTACAATGATTTTTAAATGTATTTAAATATTTTAAATTTGTTAAATCAAATATTTGAATAGAACCATCATGTCTACCTATTAATAATGTATTATTTAAATTATTATATTGTAATGAATATATTGATCCTATATTTAAATTATTTAATTTATCTGATTCTTTATATTTAATAAATTCATTCCTTTCCAAATTAAATAATTCTAAATTTAAATCACCAATTCCAATCACATGTTCATTTGAATAGGATGGTACTATTATATTGGATAGAGCTCTGATTTTATCTTGAAAAATGTGTGATTGTAATTTTGAAGGAAGGGAATTGAACATTTTTTTTTAAATCTATTTTTAAATAAATGAAATGAAAAGAATGATGAAATTTAACCTTCAAGTTCATAATTGAAATTTATCATGAAACAACATTTGTAAAGTGTAAATTTCTTTCAATACAATAATTAGAGCTGTAATGTATTGTAAATGAAATATTTCAACTGAAGTTTGTTTCCAATAAAGGCAAGTAGGTTATTTCCATGATACGCTAAGGTCACCACATGAAAACAAAATGAAATCAACAGTCATCTTCACTGAACTGAAGTTCAACAACTTGCTCAAATATTCGAAACTGAAGAGAGATTTTAATTTCTTCAACAACAAAAAAAAAATGTTCAACAACAAACATTGGATCACATCAACACTATTAACTCTATTTGTATTCTTGTTAATTAATTTCATTAAATGTGATAGTAATGAATGTAAATGTGAATATTGTAATTGTGGTGGATTTACTTGTAATATTAAACCAAATCAATATAATGTAGCAACTGCTTATTGTGATTATGCACCAAATACCTATGTTAGTTACATTTCAGTTCAATTGAAATCTTCATCTGATAAAATTACAGTTAAAACAATGCCATACAGTGATAATAGTAATACAGGTGGTAGTGGTTTGAGTGGTTTATCATCATCTGGTTCAGTTTCATGTTATCAAGGTTCTTCATTCATGACAGATACTTCTATTAATAGATATATAACCTATTTTACTTGTGATAGTAATGGTTTTAGTTGTACTTCATCTCAATTTGACACCATGTCATATTGTACTGATAAGACCATTACAGTTAATAATTTATTATTAACATCTGATAAGAGTATAATTAATAGTGGTGATTTAATTAATTTTAAAACCTATTTACGAGATTCACAAAATTCAACACTCTCCACCAAAGCAAGTGTTTCATTGAGAATTGAAAATGGAATTTCACCACTTGTTTTATATAATATTGATAGTGGAAGATCGTATTTTTCTGAGGGTGGAATTGGTGATTTTAGTGGTGCTATGATAAAATCAAAACAAAATCAAACTGTTACATTGTTAGCTAAATATGTACAGAGTGGTAAATTTTTAGAATCTAGATTGAATGTTAATGTGATGGGTGATCCTACTTTTAATAGTGCTAATACATTGATGAGTGGTGGTGGTTTTGGTTGTTTATTTTTGATTTTAATTATTAGTTTTATTGCTTTTTAATTTCTAATTATGGAAATTTACAATAAAATATATTCAAAATTGTTTATATCATAATTATTAAATATTTTTAATGACATAATTAATAGAAAATGTTCACTAAATGATGGGGAGTTGATCATAGAGGAGAAATCATACAATCACCTTAGTCAGATGATCAATGTTTGATTTCAAAAAGAATGAAAGTTTAATAAATGATCGATGACAATGGGTTTTATTTCAGTATTTCAAAGAATACACAAATAGTACTATCTATTACCATGTAATAAAAGCATCAAGTAAAAAAAACACTTGTTTATTGTGTTCATTGCTGGATTTTATTCAAGATTCAAAATTACCAAAATTACAAAAAAAGAATTTTAGATTATTTTTAGAACCAGTTCATAATGAACAATCAATTGAATTTAAATTTAATGAAATTGCAGAAAATCCACAAGATTTTATTTTTTTATCTTTTTAAAAAATTTAAAAAATTATTTAATTATAAATGAAATTGAAAATATTTTAAATGATAAAAAACATATTGGTAGAATTAGTATTTGGAATTTTCAAACAAATGAAAAATTAAAAAGTAAAATTCATAATTTAAACAAACCAACACATTTAATATCATATACTACTTCTTCTATAAGTACTTATTACTTACCATCTATGGAAAATATACATTCATTAATATTATTTTGATATTTTTACACAAATTTAGAAAGAAGAGAATTATTAAAAAATATTTCAAATTCTAAAAATATAAATTTAAAAAGGTATTGAAAGAGGATGGTTTCATTCAGATATATTTGAAAAATCTCAAATGTTACTAAATGGAGTAGGTGGATTTCAATCTTTTTGTTTTGGTTATACAAATCAATCCAATGCTCCATCTTTAAATAATTTTAAAAAGGGAAGAATTGAAAATTTTATTAGTGATGAACTGGATGATTATGAACAAAATGATGAAATGAATGATGTTAGTGATAGTGAAGATGATATTTGTTTTAATAATGGTAAAACTAATTTGGAAAAGTTACAAGAGGATAATTATTCAACTGAAGAAGAAGAATTTTAATAATTTTTAAATTACTTTCTAATAGAACCAATCATT